GAACTTCGGGCCAGGCGCGTGTGCCTGATGAAACCGTCTATATAAAGCTTGAAGCATCAGAATCGGCATTGGTATCGTCCGATCACCATGACAAGAAATCGGTACTCCGTATTGGCTGCAAAAATCCTGATCGGAGCATCCCTAGTATTAACTGATCTTCCTGCGGTGAAATGTGTATCTGAGAAACTGCATTTAACCTTAACTGCAAATGTGAGTTTAGGTTAGGAGTTATGCTAGAAAGGAAGAACCTTGAGAAAAGAGCATTTCCAAATTCAATGAGTGCAAGAACAGTGCAACTAGAGCAACTTGGAGTTGAACTTTTGCCTTCCTCAGGGTCATTGTGGGGTTTTGTAGTTCTTTCACATGTGGCAGCTTTTTTAGCATAAGAAACAAGCACACCTGAGAAGAGGTTTTGGGAGATCTTTGTACTTGGCATGCCAAACTCAGTCCTGGAGAGCCGGTGACCTGTAGACTTCAGCTCCAGCTTGCCTCAGCACACCTGCCTGGAAGTTTCTAGTATGCCTAGTGAGAGCTTGATTAGCAGGTTCAGGTGTGTTTAATTGGGGTAGGAGCTGAACTCTGCAGGACCCCGGCCCTCCAGGAGCAGGATTGAACACCCCTGACGTATGATGTTTTGGCACAAATGTGTTCTCTTGTCTTTTATAATCTTCAAGTTTCAGAAAAGGGGAATGTACAGTTGTTGATGCATGACTTGATGCTGTAAATGTGTTACTTTGAATTCACTCCTGTGAATAGATTGAGCCATGATGACTGTCAGTACGGTTGTGGCAAAATGCATGAAACAGCTTTTTTTTGTAATGAAGCAAGTATTAACAATTAGCTAACTTTTTGCTTTTGTTTTTCAGATGCTGTACCCATCTCGTGTGTAACATGCTTTTGTGTACAGACATTAAAAAATTGGTCCAAAAAGTTGCCTTTCTGGTCTTTCTTTGGTATTACAAAGTATGATAGTTTCTGCAACCACTTCGAAATCTTGCTAGGTTTTGCAATTTTCTGCCCAGTTTTTCAGTAGAGCAACGTCTGAGAAATGTACTGTTGTTTTAAGCCAGATTTGCAGCGGAACTGATGCTCCAGTAGAAACATCTGAAAAGAGCACAATTAAGGGAAATTACAGCACTTACAAGAACATTTTGTCTGGGTTTATTCTAGATCAGGAGACAGCGATAGGACATTTGACTTTTTGGTAAATAAGAGCAACTGCTGAGCTTGTAAGAAACCCCATACAGTGACATTTACCTGTCTTCATTTGACTAATTTAGTTTGTGTAGTCTGTTAATGCAAACTAAAGTGTGAGTTTTATACATTGAATATACAGTACATAAGATGAATCTAGTGTCTTTGTCACTGTCAAGGCTACCCACACATACACTAAATAAATATATAAAAAATGGTGTCCTGTGAGGTTGGGCAGACAAATGTGGCATGATTCTAACTTTAATATTTATATCTTGAAACTAAAACAATAGTTTGATTATTTTAAAACTGAAGATGGGAAGTGACTTTAGTCAAATATGTCTGTTTACACTTATCCGTTTACATGTAATATTAGCTTTTAAATGTCTATCCAATGAAATTTGAAATGATTGTAATTCTAGCTACTTTCCATTGTGTAGATAGATTGATTAAATGCACCTTTGTTCTGTGTGCTAATAACCTGAATCTTCAATGATTTGAGTTCATTTATAATTAACCGTTTTGGTGTCAACAAATCAACTCAAATCAAACTTGCAGCAAATATATTATATGGATAACAAACTGATATTTAATATACTGATATTTTAAAGTGCCCCTATTATGGATTTTTGAAAATGACCTTTCATGCAGTGTGTGTAACACAGCTCTAAGTGAATGAAAACATCCTGCAAAGTTTTAAATCTGAAAGTGCACCGTGTATAAAGTTATTGTCTCTCAAAAGAAAGAGTCGACTCTGAATCATTGAAACGAGTCCCAAGCCGTTTCATGTTGAGTCAACATGAAACATTAGCATATTGCCCGCAAACTTGGCCTTTTCGCGTTGGTCTGAATGAAAATGCAAATTCATTCTTTGCCACTAGGTGGCGCTTTTGGAGCGGTAGAACGAACGGTTTCCCCGGTAACGCTGTACACAAAGCAGCACTGCGCTCACAAATTTATCAGGCATTACAGGCTAGATTAAATTAAAATAAAACCAATCGGACCAATCACCGCAGATTAGCAAAGGTCACGCAAAGGAGGGGTTTGGAAAAATGAATCGTTGAGTGAATCGTTTGGGAGTCGTTGAGCAAGTAAGGTAAAAATAAATGCATATTATAAGACAATAGCCCTATTTGCATGGGATTAGTATTACCTGGTGACCTCTAGTCATTTGTAATAATTGCGGAGGTTGTCTGTGATCTTAATCCCGTAACTGCGCTCACAAACGCTGCTTTATCAGGCATTACAGGCATGATGAAATGGAAATGAGACCAATCACCGCAGATTAGTATCACGCAAAGGAGGGGTTTGGAGAAATGAATCATTGAGCGAATCGTTTGGGAGTCTTTGAGCAAGTAATGTAAAAATCAATGCATATTATAAGACAATGAAAGTGTTTTTTGACCTTGCATGCATGTCAACCTGTTGTTAGGGACTCCCAAAACCAAAATATGAACCTTTCATTACCCATAATAGGGGCATTTTAAATAATTTTGGCTGTATGTAGAGAGGAAATGCATGGACATATTTTTGCATAATTCAGCTTGTAACGGGTTAATATGCGTCAGGTGTAATTTCCGATTAAACAGTGAAACGAGAGGAATAATGTCCGCATATTTAGCAGTATCATCATCGCACTGTACTTTCTGGAATGGTAAAATTCCACCCCAGAGCCCCACGCTTTTTACCACACTGTAATACTAGCGTTTGACTGCAGAGGATGCGCGTCGCCTTCCATCTCGCATAAGCCCCGCCCACTGACAGAGCGCTGACGCGTTTACGTGGAAGCGAATTGTGGGTAATGTAGTTCCATTTACTCGCCACTTAAACGATGTGCAATTGTAACGAACGATCATTGCACTACATTTCCCATAACGGGGTCCATCAGAGTCCTTCAAATAACTGGTTTATATCGAAGTTGTTTTTCTCCATCTGCTGTTGTTGAAGATCCGCAGACCAACCAGACGAGCAGGTACCTGCTGCAGTGGACACTTTTATCTTTTGTTTGATATGTAAAATAAGATTTATTGTAGTATAATTTGCATGCGACACATTTGTAATTCTGACACCATAATTAATTTTTTATTAACTGTTTCTGATTTTAGCATCATTTGACCTGTCATGGCAAATTATTATATTGACTTTTAAGAAGATTAAACAAATAACGCGTGTGAATATGAATATGCGCTGCTGTGATGGACATCGTCTTTCTTTGTGTTATATCCTGATGTAGGTGACATCTGTTGTCTCAGTAGTTCTGATGATGCTCTCTATTTAGACGGGATATGGAAACACATTTATGCAATTGATATTAATGCGTGATGTTTAATTATAATCCAGATCAGGATGCATATATGCAACAGAATTAAGTGGGAAATTATGATCTAAAAAGGCACTGATGGGATTGTTACAATAAGAATGGGATCAGTCAACGCGTAATGGGATATTCGCCAGATAAACGCTGCTCTCTCGCTTTATAGATCAATATATTCATGTGTAACGTTACATTCATAATCACGACAGCGTCATAACTGTCCGGTAATGTCAAAATATTGGCCGTGTGTCAAAAGTTAGTGAGTGCATCAACATCATTAATGCACTAATCGTAACCTAACCACATTTTTTGGTCATCGCAGGATGAATCACCTGAAACCCGTCAAGAACGTGTTCGGGCATATCGCATAAAAGAAAGAAATAATACACTATCTTTCGCCTTAATGAAAGACTGCTAAGTTGTGTTTCATTATGACATTAATACATACAGTAGAGCACATTTTCCCCTCATTTTCATCACCATAAAGCAATAAAGTCTAAAAACAAGTAAAAAATATGTAGTATTTATACATCATGATAGTATTTGCTTTTGTGCTCTTAATTTATGCATATTTGAATTAAATAAATTGTATTTAATATATTTATTTACTCTAATGCAATAAAAATGGCTAAAAGGAATTGCAAAACGTATGAATGCATTTTATAGTCAAGATAATTTTGAGTGAAAACTGGGTTAGTCGTCATGAAAATATTGTATCTTTATGAGGCCCGGATTAAGAAATCAGAGGCCCCTGGGCACAATGTCTTGTCGGACCCCCACACACCCGCGCACAATCAACGTTTTTAATTCTAGGGTAATATTTGTTGTTACACTGACAGGTTACAGATCACAACCTGAAGGACAATATCAACACCTGTTGTGTTGTGGTGTAAATCATACAAGATTTACACCACTTGATTGCGTAATACTTTCCTGGACAAGAAGCAATCTTTGCAATAAGTGTAAATAGTAATTATGCTATCTATACTTTATATTGGCAGATACTATTTGCACTTCAGTATTTTTGTACATTAAAGGCACAATATGTAAGATTTTTTTATTAAAATATCCAAAAACCACTAGAACAGTGTTGTATATTTTGCTGACTTGTGTACTTTCATTATCCCAAATGTTTCGAAGAATGTTTAAATCCAGAGAAATAAACCATTTTAACTAGTGACACGGAGCGTGTCC